TTCTGAGAGTTGTCTTTTTGTCTTGTTTATGGTTTCCTTTGCTGTGCAAAAGCTTTTAAGTTTCATTAGGTCCCATTTGTTTATTTTTGGTTTTACTTCCATTTCTCTAGGAGGTGGGTCAAAAAGGATCTTGCTCTGATTTATGTCATAGAGTGTTCTGCCTATGTTTTCCTCTAATAGTTTTATAGTGTCTGGCCTTACATTTAGGTCTTTAATCCATTTTGAGTTTATTTTTGTATATGGTGTTAGGGATTGTTCTAATTTCGTTCTTTTACATGTAGCTGTCCAATTTTCCCAGCACCACTTATTGAAGAGACTGTCTTTTTTCCATTGTATATCATTTCCTCCTTTGTCATAGATTAGTTGACCATAGGTGCATGGGTTTATCTCTGGGCCCTCTATCTTGTTCCATTAATCTATATTTCTTTTTCTGTGCCAGTACCGTATTGTCTTGATTACTGTAGCTTTGTAGTATAGTCTGAGGTCAGGGAGTCTGATTCCTCCAGCTCCGCTTTTTTCCCTCAAGACTGCTTTGGCTATTCAGGGTCTTTTGTGTCTCCATACAAATTTTAAGATTTTTTGTTCTAGTTCTGTAAAAAATGCCATTGGTAATTTGATAGGGAGTGCGTTGAATCTGTAGATTGCTTTTGGTAGTATAGTCATTTTCACAGTGTTGATTCTTCCAATCCAAGAACATGGTATATCTCTCCATCTGTTGGTATCATCTTTAATTTCTTTCATCAGTGTCTTATAGTTTTCTGCATACAGGTCTTTTGTCTCCCTAGGTAGGTTTATTCCTGGGTATTTTATTCTTTTTGTTGCAATGGTAAATGGGAGTGTTTCCTTAATTTCTTTTTCAGATTTTTCATCATTAGTGTATAGGGATGCAAGAGATTTCTGTGCATTAATTTTGTATCCTGCAGCTTTACCAAATTCATTGATTAGCTCTGGTAGTTTTCTGGTGGCATCTTTAGGATTCTCTATGTATAGTATCATGTCACCTGCAAACAGTGACAGTTTTACTTCTTTTCCAATTTGTATTCCTTTTATTTCTTTTTCTTCTATGATTGCTGTGGCTAGGACCTCCAAAACTATGTTGAATAATAGTGGTGAGAGTGAACATACTTGTCTTGTTCCTGATCTTAGCAGAAATGCTTTCAGTTTTTCACCATTGAGGATGATGTTTGCTGTGGGTTTGTCATATATGGCCTTTATTATGTTGAGGTAGGTTCCCTCTATGCCAACTTTCTGGAGAGTTTTTATCATAAATGGGTGTTGAATTTTGTCAAAAGCTTTTTCTGCATCTTTTGAGATGATCATATGGTTTTTTTTTTTTGATCATATGGTTTTTAGTCTTCAATTTGTTAGTATGGTGTATCACATTGATTGATTTGCATATATTGAAGAATCCTTGAATCCCTGGATAAATCCCACTTGATCATGGTGTATGATCCTTTTAATGTGTTGTTGGATTCTGTTTGCTAGTATTTTGTTGAGGATTTTTGCATCTATATTTGCATCTATATTCATCAGTGATATTGGTCTGTAATTTTCTTTTTTTGTAGTATCTTTGTCTGGTTTTGGTATCAGGGGGATGGTGGCCTCGTAGACTGAGTTTGGGAGTGTTCCTTCCTCTGCAATTTTTTGGAAGAGTTTGAGAAGGATGGGTGTTAGCTCTTCTCTAAATGTTTGATAGAATTCACCTGTGAAACCATCTGGTCCTGGACTTTTGTTTGTTGGAAGATTTTTAATCACAGTTTCAATTTCATTACTTGTGATTGGTCTGTTCCTATTTTCTGTTTCTTCCTGGTTCAGTCTTGGAAGGTTATACCTTTCTAAGAATTTGTCCATTTCTTCCAGGTTGTCCATTTTATTGGCATAGAGTTGCTTGTAGTAGTCTCTTAGGATGCTTTGTATTTCTGCGGTGTCTGTTGTAACTTCTCCTTTTCATTTCCAATTTTATTGATTTGAGTCCTCTCCCTCTTTTTCTTGATGAGTCTGGCTAATGGTTTATCAATTTTGTTTATCTTCTCAAAGAACGAGCTTTTAGTTTTATTGATCTTTGCTATTGTTTTCTTTGTTTCTATTTCATTTATTTCTGCTCGGCTCTTTATGATTTCTTTTCTTCTGCTAACTTTGAGTTTTGTTTGTTCTTCTTTCTCTAATTCTTCAGGTGTAAGGTTAGATCATTTATTTGCGATTTTTCTTGTTTCTTGAGGTAGACTTGTATAGCTATAAACTTCCCTCTTAGAGCTGCTTTTGCTGCATCCCATAGGTTTTGGATCGTTGTGTTTCATTGTCATTTGTCTCTAGGTATTTTTTGATTTATTCTTTGATTTCTTCAGTGATCTCTTGGTTATTTAGTAATGTATTGTTTAACTTCCATGTGTTTGATACATTTTTTTCCTTGTAATTCATTTCTAATCTCATAGTGTTGTGGTCAGAAAAGATGCTTGATATGATTTCAATTTTCTTAAATTTACTGAGGCTTGATTTGTGACCCAAGATGTGATCTATCCTGGAGAATGTTCCATGTGCACTTGAGAAGAAAGTGTAATCTGCTTTTTTTGGATGGAATGTCCTATAAATATCAGTTAAATCTATGTGGTCTATTGTGTCATTTAAAGCTTGTGTTTCCTTATTAATTTTCTGTTTGGATGATCTGTCCATTGGTGTAAGTGAGGTGTTAAAGTCCGCCACTATTATTGTGTTACTGTCGATTTCCTCTTTCATAGCTGTTAGCAGTTGCCTTATGTATTGAGGTGCTCCTATGTTGGGTGCATATATATTTATAATTGTTATATCTTCTTGGATTGATCCCTTGATCATTATGTAGTGTCCTTCCTTGTCTCTTGCAACATTCTTTACTTTAAAGTCTATTTTATCTGATATGCGTATTGCTACTCCAGCTTTCTTTTGATTTCCATTTGCATGGAATATCTTTTTCCATCCCCTCACTTTCAGTCTGTATGTGTCCCTAGGTCTGAAGTGGGTCTCTTGTAGTCAGCATATATATGGGTCTTGTTTTTGTATCCATTCAGCAAGCCTGTGTCTTTTGGTTGGAGCATTTAATCCATTTACGTTTAAGGTAATTATTGATATGTTTGTTCCTATTACCATTTTCTTAATTGTTTTGTGGGGTTTTTTGTAGGTCCTTTTCTTCTCTTGTTTTTCCCACTTAGAGAAGTTCCTTTAGCATTTGTTGTAGAGCTGGTTTGGTGGTGCTGAATTTTCTTAGCTTTTGCTTGTCTGTAAAGCTTTTGATGTCTCCATCGAATCTGAATGAGATCCTTGCTGGGTAGAGTAATCTTGGCCATAGGTTCTTCCCTTTCATCACTTAAAGTATATCATTCCACTCCCTTCTGGCTTGTAGACTTTCTGCTGAGAAATCAGCTGTTAACCTTATGGGAGTTCCCTTGTATGTTATTTGTCATTTTTCCCTTGCTGCTTTCAATAATTTTTCTTTGTCTTTAATTTTTGCCAATTTGATTACTATGTGTCTCGGTGTGTTTCTCCTTGGGTTTATCCTGTATGGGTCTCTCTGCGCTTTCCTGGACCTGGGTGGCTATTTCCTTTCCTATGTTAGGGAAGTTTTCAACTATAATCTCTTCAGATATTTTCTTGGGTCCTTTCTTTCTCTCTTCTCCTTCTGGGAACCCTATACTGCGAATGTTGTTGCATTTAGTGTTGTTCCAGAGGTCTCTGAGGCTGTCTTCCTTTCTTTTCATTCTTTTTTCTTTATTCTGTTCCACAGCAGTGAATTCCACCATTCTGTCTTCCAGGTCACTTATCCGTTCTTCTGCCTCAGTTATTCTGCTATTGATTCCTTCTAGTGTAGTTTTCATTTCAGTTATTGTATTGTTCATCTCTGTTTGTTCTTTAATTCTTCTAGGTCTTTGTTAAACATGTCTTGCATCTTCTCGATCTTTACCTCCATTTTTTTCCCGAGGTCCTGGATCATCTTCACTATCATTATTCTGAATTCTTTTTCTGGAAGGTTGCCTATCTCCACTTCACTTAGTTGTTTTTCTCTGGTTTTATCTTGTTCCTTCATCTGGTACATAGCCCTCTGCCTTTTCATCTTGTCTGTCTTTCTGTGAATGTGGTTTTTGTTCCACAGGCTGCAGGATTGTCGTTCTTCTTGCTTCTGCTGTCTGCCTGCTGGTGGATGAGGCTATCTACTATACTGTCTTTTTTTTTTTTGCGGTACACGGGCCTCTCACTGTTGTGGCCTCTCCCATTGCGGAGCACAGGCTCTGGATGTGCAGGCTCAGCAGCCATGGCTTACGGGCCCAGCCGCTCCACGGCATGTGGGATCTTCCCGGACCAGGGCACAAACCTGTGTTCCCTGCATCGGCAGGCGGACTCTCAACCACTGTGCCACCAGGGAAGCCCTATACTGTCTTTTATATTTACCATTATATTTGCCTTTCTGGTGTTGCTGGTTTCTTCATGTCTTTGGTTATTATCTAGTTTCTAGTACCCGAAGAACTCTCTTCTTGTAGAGTGAGTTTGCTGACAATGAATTCTCTCAGGTTTTGTTTATCTGAGAATGTCTTAATTTCTCCATTTTATTATAATTTGCCATGTATAGAATTCTAGCTTGACAAACTTGCTATCAGCATTTTAAATATGTCATTTATGCTTTCTGGGGATAAATCAGCTCTTGATCTTGTTGAGGACTTGTGTATGGTGAGTTGCTTCTCTTTTCCTGATTTCAAGATTCTCGTTTTGTTTTTGGCTTCCAACATTTTATGATGTGTCTAAGTGTGGATCTCTTGGAGTTTTTCCTGTTTGAAGTTCATTAAGCTTCTCAGAGGTGTAGATTAATTTCTTCATCAAATTTGCGATGTTTTTGGAAATCATTTCTTCAAATATACTTTCTGCCCCTTTCTCTCTCTTTTCCATTCTATTATGCATATGCTGTTGATCTGTAAGGCTGTGTTAAGTTTAATCTTCATTTGTTTTTTAATAAAAAACACAGTCTTTATTTCCCTCAAAGGGGGTGCACTATTCCTGGAAGTACAGTAATACCTGGGTCAGTGCATGGAGTGGATGGAGCAAAGTTCTATTCCATCTCCTAGTTCCAAAAATCCATTTAATATATTGTCCTTAGATAGAGGATGTGTCAGAAATTAAACTGATAGGAATAGCTACTATTCTTGCTTCTTGGCCTTTTGGCTAAGATCTATTCATTCTTTTTTTCCCTCATGCTGCTTAATCTCAATGGACCCATCTTTAAGTTCACTGATGATTTGTTCTGTGTCTAAGACATCATTCTTATGTCTCTAAGACATCATTCTTAGACTTCCCTTTAGTTCTTTAGACATGCTTTCGTTTAGTTCTTTGAACATATTTAAAGTCTTTGTCTAGTAAGTCCAATGTCTGGGCTCCTCAGGGACAGTTTCTATTAATTGCCTTGTTTTTTGCTTGTATACGTGTATACTTTGAATGTCTTGTAATTTCTTTAACAACTAGTCATTTAAAATAATGTGGCAACTTTGGATATAAAATCTGCCCCCCCACCCCTTGCCCAGGGTTTGTTGTTTTTGCTCATTGTTTGATCGTCCAGTGACTTTTGAGTTGATTTTGTAAAGTTTGTATTCTTTGTCATGTGTAGGCACTGAATTCTCTGCTCAGTTAGCTTAGTGGTCAGCTAATGATTGGACAGAGATTTCCTTACACACTTGGAAGCAAAAATTCACCCAGTCTTTGCCAAGGCATTCTGTGTGCATGTTGGGGCATGCCTTCGCGAGGAAGTTGACAATGCTGCCTTAAACCTTCACTTCCTGCTTGCACAGAGCCTCAAAGTCAGCCAGAGGTGAGACCTCAGGGTCTTCTCCATTTTCTATGAGCATGTGCAACGGTTCTATAGAGGCATGTGACGTTCTAGATTTTCAGGAACATGTTGGAGTTCTCAAAGCCCCAATGAACATCTCATTCCCAGCTTTGCCTTTTAAGTTTTTTGGTTAGTCTATTGTTTGCCCCCAACTGTTATCTGACCCCCCACCCCCCACCCCAAGCAGCTGTGAAGTTGAACCACTTCCTCTAACTGTTTTTAACAAATACCTCCAGGGAAAAGACTTTTTGCATTGTGTGAGCTCTGAGTCAAATAAAATAGAATCTTACAAATGGGATCTCCCAGGAAACCACGAGAAGCATCGAATAATAATAATTCTCTGGGAATGAGGCTTTAAGGGAGCACCAACCTGTTCTGCCTCCTCCAGTGGCTGCTGGGCTGTTGGTTTTCAAAGCTACCACAGAGCTGGGGGAGGAGTGGGAATAAGGCAAGGCAAAATGCCATAAGCCTTGCTGTTCTTACTGAGATTTAGACATTTTTCTTGAATAAACCCTTTTCAGCTTGAATAAAACAAATTGCTGCAAACCTTTGGTCAGTTTCCAGAGTTCTAAAAAAGTTGATTCTATTTTTCAGGTTTCTTGTTGCTTTTCTGGAGGAGAGAATTTTGAGGTCCTTGTTCTCCCATTTTTGCTGCCACCCACTAGCATGTTCTTACTGCATGGGATAAAAAGGTGCTGGGGATCCAAGTGATGATAGGAATTACCTATCCCCCAGAGCATGGGGAGTGTCCCACAAATCAGTGAGACCACCAAATGTTCTTCCTTCCCCTGATACAGACCAGCATACACATTGAGACTTAGTGTTCAAGCCAGCTTCTTCTAATCAGATAGATGGCTAGACTAGATGACCTGTGGTTCCTTTTGGCAGAGACTCTGACTTGAATGTATGTCTCCTTGCAGGTCAGCCTCACCCTGCAAGAAATAATCAATGGTGTCAATGCCTCAGATCCAGAACTATGTTTCCAGGCCACCCAGGCAGCCAGGTATCACCAAACAGACTTGTATTATTGACAGATGCATAGCTAGAAATGGGTTCCAGCAGCCTATTTGGTTTCTTGGCAGTGGCAAAATGCCCACACAATATAAGAAAAGGCCGGTCCATCCCAAAGTGAGATGAAATTGCTCCTCTGCACTGTCCTTGAGAACAACTTAAGATATGCAAGTGTGGTCAGAGATGAATGGCTTAATTTAAATTGGCCTCAACAGGAATGGCGGCTCATAGATAATAACTAAAGGGAAAAATATTGCTTCATCACTGCAGAGTGCTACAGGCTGAACTCTAGGATATGAAGGAGCTCTGGCCCAGGGGTTTGTTTCATTTGATAGTTAGGAATGCCAAGAACATCCATAAAGGAGGTTCTTCTTACCTGCCTCACAGGACATGTTCTTGTCTTTTCTCTTACACTGCGAAGGAAAATGCTGTCCCGGGAAAAGAACCCTCCTCTGAAGCTGATTGTTGATGCAGGGCTCATTCCCAGGCTGGTGGAGTTCCTGAAGTCATCCCTTCATCCCCGCTTGCAGCTCGAGGCAGCCTGGGCTCTGACCAATATTGCCTCCGGTACTTCGGAGCTGACTCGTGCTGTCGTGGACGGAGGGGCCATCCAGCCCTTGGTTGAGCTCCTGTCTTCCCCTCATATGACTGTGTGTGAACAGGCAGTGTGGGCCCTTGGTAATATAGCAGGTGAGCCTCTCCCCTTGGTGGGGGGCAGGGGGCAAAGAAAATGGTGGGCCTTGTGAGTGGCATGCGATGGGAATTCTTTGGGTAGTATTGTAGATCAGACATTTTAAGTATAAATACCTAGCAATACTGGGAAGAGTAGAACGGGCCTTTCCGAAATTCAGAGTCAAGTTCAGAGACCAAAAATTGAAGCTGAAGCTAGAAGGCATGGTATGTTCTGAAGCTCCAGGCTGCCTAGGGACACCTGCCAAGACTGGGGTCCTACAGCCTCAGGGCTTAGTGGCTTCAGGAACAAAAGACAAGTCTTTGGCTCATGCAATGTGGGGATTTTATGACAGACCCTTACATCACCCAGTACCCTAAAAGAATTCTACCTTCAGTGAAAGTTGCCGAGGGAATACACACGAAAATGTCTGCTTAGTTTAGGATAAAAGTCTCCCCTGAAAACGCAATCCTAAGACTGGCCTCATGGATTTGGGACTGGATACTGTATTCCCTGCATGGTCTGGGAAAACACAAGCTGGGGAGTGAGTGCTGTCAGGTTAGGAACTCCAGGATCCCTGGCTGAATATAAATGTGATGCTCTCTGGGGGAAACAAACTCAGTCGGGCCCCTCAGGATTTTGACAAATTAAGATCAGCCAAATATTAGCAATTTCAAGTTCAGAAAGTCAACAATCCACTATGACTGAGTCAGCAGAAGCAAACAATGTGATTAGACCTCCAAGGACTTCAGAGGATGGAATTAGCAAACACAGAATATAAAATAAGTCTACTTTTTTTTTTTATTTTTTTTAATTTTTAAATTTTTTTTTAATAAGTCTACTTTTTAAAAGCTTGCAGAAATAAAGCAACTATTACAGAGATTTCGTCTCTCATTTTGCTTAGTGCAGTAAGGAACAGGCAAAATCGGGTGGTGTAGTATAACTTATACCTTGCCTGATGATTGAAGAATTACAGGCTGAGACGTCTAGGGTCTAAAATTGGTATTCTAGCCAAAGTAGCAGAAAACTGATGGCTAGAATCTGTCCATCTCCCAGACTTTGTTCTGAGTTGCATTTGGAAGTTACTGCCCCATGTCAAAGCCTTCTGGGAAGACAATTTGGTCCATAGTGGCCTTTGTCTCCTGAGAACCATGCTGTGAGATACCACCAGCATTTAGAGTGTGCTGCCTGGGCCCAGTTGGCTGGCTCCTTGATGGGTCCAGAGACTCTGCTTATAGCAATCCCTGCTGTGTGGTGCCTGATTTCCACATCAGGCCATCTATCTATTCAACCAACATGTCAGAGACCCAGGGTCTAGTTCATGGCTATACTATCTACTTGCCCAACCCAGGAATGAGTTTTGGCCTCTCCCCCTTTGCAGAGACTTGTGAAGAATTACTCACCCACCCCAGGACTCTCTCTGTTCCCTCTTTGAGTGTCATGTTCTTGTCTATTTGTAGGTGATGGACCAAAATTCAGAGACGACGTTATCTTGAGTGATGCCATTCCACATCTGCTGACCCTGGTTTCATCAAGCATACCAGTGAATGTCTTTTTTAAATTAATTTTATTTATTCATTTATTTATTTGGCTGCGTTGGGTCTTAGTTGCGGCATGTGGGCTCTTCGTTGTGGTGCGCAGGCTTCTCTCTAGTTGTGGTGCATGGGGTGAGTAGGTGCAGCGTGAGGCTTAGTTGCCCTGTGGCATGTGGGATCTTAGTTCCCTGACCAGAGATTGAACCCACGTCCCCTGCATTGGAAGGCAGATTCTTAACCACTGGACCACCAGGGAGGTCCCCAGTGAGTGTCTTCTTAATGAGGTAACCTAGTTTGGTAACAGGTTCCCAAAGTTGGGAAATGGGGTATGTAATTCCAAATCAATGCTAGGCCATGTGGTTGCTGCCCAGCCCCCTAACGATAGCAATGATGAACAAGGCCTAGGACTGAATATTACTTTGGGTAGAAGTTGATCCAAATTTGTCCTCAAGGGCAGTAGTGCTGATCTTTCTTTGCGGGGGGCGTTGGGGATTAGAAGAGATCCATTCAAGTTTTTCTAAGCTTACAATCCTGTAAAAGTAGATGACTGAGCTCTCTGTTCCAGGGGCACAGACAGAATTAGTGGCTCACCAGTTCTGTTCCTGGGTAATACATAGGGTCTAGGTTGGAAGCTTAGGGTCCAAGTTGATTGCTGTGGCAACACTAGAGGACTTCCTGGGTTAGGAATGGAATTTGGGCTCTAGTTTTGCCTCAAACAAAAATGAAGAGAAGGCAGCTTCCAAAAGTCAAGGGAATACATGCCCTGCCTTCAAGGTGAGAGAGAACCTGATATGGTTGAACCGGAAAAAGGCTGGCATGACCAAGGGAGCTTGCAAGGAGAGAGCAATATAAGATGACAAGTAGGGCGAGGGACTTAGACATCATCTTGGTGGCAAAAGGAAGTCTTTGGAGGGTTTCAAGGCAGGAAGTAAAGTGGTCTGATTTTCCAGAAAGACCATTCTGGCTGCTTGCTGTAGGATTATAGCAGAGGGAGATGGAGAAGCAGATGGACCTGGGTTGCTGCTGTGATGGGCATAGAAGGGGGAGACAGAAAGAAGCGAGGATGCCCTCGGGTTTCAGGTTAGTTTGTTTAGAGCACTGTCCTCCTAGAGATGTGGGGAGGATTGAAGGAAGA